TTTACGTTATTTATCTTTCGCACTTTACTTTACGCATTTGTCTTTAAATTATATTTAAGTTTAAGCACCTTTACTTTACGAAATTATTCTTCGTTTCATTACATTTCACCTTCAATCTTCATCTCCAACCCACTCCACATCATTTGGTCGCTCACATAAAGCCTTGATCCCGAGGTAGTGAAAGAACCTAGGCCGTGAGGAGGTTCCTTGCTCGGCCGAACAATCGTTTGATTAAAGTCAAATCTCGGACGCAACACATTCATCTACTCACATTCCATTCAAGCCCAAATTCGGGGCTTGGTGGTAGCACGCCCCGCACTCAAAAAAGAAGAAGGACCAAAAACTCCTTCAATCGGCCTACCCGGCCGAAAAGAGGGAAAGAGTTACAACCATCGGCCGTGATCCCGACATCATCCCTCTATTGAACCGTGTCACAAGTCTTCACCTCTTTTAGTATTGTACTATAAAAATCGTTGTACTATAAAAATCGTTAACAGTGAAAGTTCTTGTGATTTCCTGGTCATGTGTGAAGGATGGGTTGAATGGGAGTGATTCTTAAACGCCTTTGGTGTGAACCGAAGTCGGATGGGAATCGTGAACTTTTCAAATTTCTATTGGAGTGATTCCAATATACCTTGGTGCGAGACGCCAGAGATCGGATCTCTCTTTTCTCTCTGTACAAGCTTTGCTTGAGTGTGAGCATTGAGCAAGAGTGAAACGGATGTAGGTCAGGGAAGAGAGGGGGTGAGAACAAGAGAGTGGGTCGGGGAAGAGCGGAGAAGGTGGCTGTGAGAGAGGAAGAGAAGGGTTGCTGGGCTACGAGTTTTTTATTTTTGGTTTTAAAAATGTAAAAGTTAAATTATTTTAAAGAATAGGTGGGTATGTTTTTTCCTTAAGTTTTTTGAAGTTATTTTACAAAGGGGTAAATTTGTCTCTAAAACATTAAAGATAAGGTGGGTGGGGAAATAGGACAGGGGGTGAAAATAACAACACTCTCTTTTAGATGGTGTAACAATTATGAGTTGTTTTTTATGGTCAATAATGGATCTTGTTTTGGTATATGATGAATGATTTTAAATTTAGAAATGATGAACAAGAATGACCAATAAATTAGGAGGAACTTGTAAGGAAATTAACCGTTATATTATCAACTTCAACTTTACATACAACAACTAGGAAAAGCAGCGCCCAATATACAAACAAACCACGTTTTGCTCCAACCAAATCCACCTTGGAGAAATCTCCACCGTTAAAAACTAGTTTCTCACAATTCAACGGACCAGTGTTCTACAAGCCAAGCCTCCTCAGCGTCCCTCTATAAAACCCATCTTCTCTCAATAAACCCATCCCTGGCTTCTTCATTTGCCTCTTAAACCCCCCTAAAGCCTCATAACTCTCTCTCTCTCTCTCTCTCTCTCTCTCTCTCTCTCTCTCTCTTCGATTCAGTAATGTTGTTTTGGTGCTAATGGCTTCCCTTTTGCTGGCCTCAACAACGGAAAAATCCCATGCATCATCACCTGCCAAGTCACATGCGCCTTCTCAATCTAGCGCTCCATCTAAGGCTTCACCTTCCCCTTCTCCATCGAGTGCTCCACCAAAGGCTGCTCCTACTACGCCCGAAGCTGACTCTCCGCCTTCTCCTCCCTCATCTTCCCTTGTTAGCTCTGCGGAGATTTCTCCTTCTTCGAGTTCTGGTTCGTCTTTTGAGTTTCCTACATCTGCTCCTAACTTGGCCGTTTCGAAAAAGTTCGCCTGGTCGACTGAATTTACTCTGCAAACTTGGTTAAATAAATACTTTGGGAGCGGAGAAAGGATCCACTAGTGTAATGGTTTGGAGTAATTACTCCCCAGAAACTTATTGAGTTCGAGTCTAAGCATCTATGTAGTGTGTGTGTGTTTAATATGTTATCGCCTCTCTAAATGGTTCAACAAAAAACTTTGGGGGGTTTACTTATCCATTTTTAATTATCTATTTGAATATTACTTCTATTTATTCATTTATAGAGAAATAGATAGCGACTTTATTCCCCCAATTATTACTTGAATATAGTGGACAGATTTACCATTTGAAGAATTATGATTCTAATTAACGGCTAATGGTTGAGATTATTCTTAATTAAAAAGTTGGGTGATGGTTTCTCAATCATGGATCAGATTTTTTTTTTTTTTTTTCAAGAAGAATTTCAAAGAGGGCCCTCCATGGATCAGATTTTTTTTTTTTTTTTTCAAGAAGTATTTCAAAGAGGGCCCTCATCCTCCGAACTGAGAATGAGAGGGAAGATTGTTTTTTGTTACCAACTATGAAAGAATTTTGAAATACAATAGGAATGCTATAATTTTTTCGTTTTGTTTATAAAATGCATAACAATAGATGACAGTTAAATACCAATAACATCATTTACAATCTTTACTAACTCCCATGGTTCCATTTTATTCCATTCAATTGGATTGTTCATTCCAACAATCAAACTATTAATTACATAGATCTTGAGCCTCTACATTTAGGTCTTGTACATTTATCCACATTTGGCACAATCCAAACCATTCTAATAATCTAATTGTGTATTTACCCACTTACATACTTGAAATGATAGAAGTTATGAATCAAAGAAATGAGAATTTACAAATGGGTATGAGATCAACCACCGCTAATTAGGCTTGAGCACAGATTGGTTCAGTAGAGGGCTCTTTAGTTAACAACCAAAGTCTTCAATAGACCAATTTCTCTTATGTTAACCAACCATTAGAATCTTTAATCATTCAGATCGGTTAATTGCTTGTTCGGTTCGAATTAGTTCGATACGCTAGTAGTACTGTTCAACAAAAAACCTACTAATTATGTAATCCAAATTAGGCCAAAATGGATTAAAAACAAGTATTCCAAATTCAAAAAAGAAAAACCTTGAGAATAAAAACATTTATTACTAATGCTAGTTGAAAAACTCCAAATGAGCATTTTAAAAAAAGCCCAATAGACAAATATATGTCAGCCCAAAATATGGGAGGACGGTGGAATTCAAGCACGTGGACTAAGATCCTAGGATGAAGGTCTTTATAAAGGAAAATACAGTGGGGGTTTCCTTAAGAAACCAATGTGTGGGATTCATAGCAGTCCAACATGAGGCTTCAAAGAACTTATTAACATCATCTTGAATAACATATCGCTACAAGATGCTTTCATGTTTCTTTTTCTGTCAAGATATGATTCTTTTTCTTTTTCTTTTTCTTTTTACATTCTCAATTTTATTGTTGGAAGTTTGAAATTTTGAAATTGTGATTGTTGTTGTGTTTGGTTTCAGTCTAGACACAATATGTTGACATGTGTATATTAGATTTAATTAATAAAATAATTATAAATATCGGATTGGTACGGATTTCCGTCGAGTTAGAGAGAATATTACCTAGCATTTTAATCAAACATTTCGGTACGGCTCGAATCGAAATAATAAAAAATAATAATAATAATTATTTAACCAAACAAACCAAACCAAACTATCGGTATTGCTAATGATCAATCTAATAATTTTCATGTATTGAATTACGTATTGCAATGTGAAACACGTACTTTTTTTCTTTCTTTTGTGTTAGTAAACACACGGAAATCATGAATCGAAATAATTTCAATACTCATGTGTTAACAAACACATAAGAAGTTAGGAATCACAAATACTTGTAATACACATTCCAAGTATATAAGCATACAATATTTGCACAGAGAACTATTATTAATACTCCAAATAAGTAATTTTGCACTCCTCTATGGGCCAGTTTGGCATTGCTGCGCTGTGAAAATAATCGTTGTCAGATTTGCTGTGAGAGAAATCAGTTGTGAGAGAAAGTAGTTTGGCATTTGGTAAACTTTTTGTTAAAAATGTTGTTGGTACTAATTCTCGCATAATCAAAAAATAATTCCCGCATAATCATTAAACTCAGTGCCTCTTCGAAACTGATTCCTGTATAATCAGAAAATGAAAGCACCTCATTAGCTGCTTTCCCTTATAGCTTTCTCTCACAGCAATTTTTAACAACAAGTGATTTTCTCATAGTTTACCAAACGGGTAGGGCTTCCCAAATTTTTTAAAAAATCACTTATTGCCCCAAATAAGCAATGCCAAACTGGCACTATATATAATTTCTCTCTTATGTTTTTGGTTGCGATGACTTTTTTAAAGTACAAATACCGAATAAATAAAACACACAAGACGGCGCGCGCAACACCTGATGGATGGCGGCGACGACCAAAATACATTCCTCCTCTTTGAAACATTAATCCAAAAAAACATTAATCAAGAAACAAATCGAATCGAATAAATCGAATAATTGTAACACCTCATGCATGGCGGCGACCATAAGACACAGAAAAAACACCTGTCTACCGACCAGCCGTTGTAAACGTACCTTTACATCCAATAGCCAGTAAACACCAGCCAACACAACAACCGCGTCCTAGCCAAAAATCGGTAACAAGGTTTCTAACCTAGTCCAACTGTACCTAATATTTCCTTCCATACCAATCTGCGCCGTCCAAGCCTCATCAAATCCGCGTCAAACACATTTCTCCAAATCTAACGGTGATCTACAATTTGCCAAACTCTCATCAGCCTCCCCATATAAAAGGCCCTCTCCGGTCTCTCCTTAAACCAATCCTTCGCTTCTCAATCTGCCTCCTAAAACCAACAATTTTCTGTCTTCATTTTCTCTTTTAACTCTCTCTCTCTCTCTCTCTCTCTAATGGCTCGATCAAGCGCTGTCGTTTTGGTGCTTATGGCTGCCCTTTTGGTGGCCTCAACAAGGGCACAATCCCCTGCATCTTCACCAGCCAAGTCCCCTGCCTCTGCCCCTTCTCCTTTGAGCACTCCACCTGCTGCCTCTCCTTCTCCTTTGGGCACTCCACCCTCAGCTGCTCCTTCAACAGCTCCCGTCGCAGACTCTCCACCTTCTCCCCCATCGTCTTCCCCTAAATCTCCCGCCACCTCTCCCTCTACTTCGGTGTCGGGATCGCCCTCGGAAGCTCCTGCTCCCAACGGCTCCGTTTTGAACAGGTTCTCCATCGCCGGATCGGTGGCCGTTGGGGTTTTCGCTGCCGCATTGCTTGTGTAAACAGGGAATCTCAGACTATAAGGCCATGAGAACAGAGGGGTTCTATGAATTTTTTAATCATTTGTTTTATTGTTTTTAATTTCCCATTTAATTCAATCATTCATTTTGTATTTATTGATATATATATATATAGAGACACATTATTCTGTCATTTGATTGGGTATGGTCATGTGAATTGCAATCAAATTTTTTTTCTTTCTAGATTAAAAAATATCTAATTATGTGTTCACAAATATATTTTTAGGTGGCAACATATTCTAAACTACGTGGAGGTATTAACCAAAAAAGCATTCTAAACTACTTTGATATATGTGGTGGGTTGGATATTAGTGAGACCTTTGAAGAATTGTTGCAAAGGTCAAAAAGCAAAAGTCAATTAGACAATCAAAAATGTCTCTCACACTAAAGTATACTATATATGTTTTCCCGAAAGAAACTGCGTATGAACCTCTCGATACTTTTTTCTGCATAAAAGTATTCTAAATCATGTTTACTTTTTTCTACTTTTTGTTTTTGTTTTTGTTTTTTCTCACAATGAAATTGAGATGCAAGAACTTGAAAAACTAACTGGCTGTGACATTTTTCTCCGCCCAAATGTTAGTTTCTTTTTTCCTACTTTTGATGGTTGTATTTGTGAATTTATTATTGGGTCATATTAAAATAGGCCCTTATAATTTAATAGGTACAATACTCAGAGAAAAAATGTGATGGCTTTAATATACCTATAATATACCCCTAATTGGTAAATTACAAGTTATATTATTGCATAATGAATTCCGAGCCTCTACATTTAGAAACAGCGCATTTTGCTAAATCTAGACCGCTGTTATAATCTTACGCCTTAGAACATGACACATCATCAAGGTTTTTTTCTTCTTCTCTAAACAAACATCGAGGTTTTTTATTTTTGTTTTTAAACAAAGGGGATCTAACAGCCCAAAACAAACTATCCGCACAAATTTGGGCTTCTATGAATCGCTCTTTGGCAAATCTTTTTCTGGTACGATGACAAAGTCAGGACCTAGCTATTATCCCAAACTAAACTGGATATCCAAAAGGGCAAGTGAGGGACTACTATAGTACTATCCCAAGCCGCCAAACTGATATAAAAAAGGGCAAGTCAGGACCTACTATATCCCAAAAAACAAACTTGGATATCAAAAAGGGCAAGTCAGGAGCTACTATTCCAAAACAGTAAGGAAAAAGAAGAAACAGATAGCGATTTACTTGATCACGTACAGAGCAATTATATATATAGCCTTCTCTCTACTCCCATTGTGTTCCAGGTTTAAGATAGTGCATGCATACATCAAGCTTCTTGATAATCTTCTCCATTTTCGCTTCTTTTTCCTTGTTGCTTCTTTGTCTTTCTTAGTTCATATTCATAGTTTGTGATTTTATGTACAATGGATGAACAAGGAGGAGCACCAAGACATTTACCTGGACAAGAATCACCATCATATTACAACAACCTTCAGTATGAAGCTGCAGTCACTACAGCTATTTACTATGGTAGAATGGTTCTTGGGGGTCCGGTAGCAGTCAATGATGGTAACGACGTTAGCGATCACAATCACGGTCAGGGAGTAGCAGCCAATGATGGCGAGGAAGTTCAATTTGAGGAAGTAGCAAAGGTATGGACGGAGGAGATAGTCGGGTATGTATCCTACACAAATTTTAATTATTATTTTTCATTTGTGTTATAAATGTTTAATTCTTTATATTTTTTTCCAAAAATCTGAAACTGAAACAGCACATAAAAACACTTGATTATGGTGTTTTTGAGTTTTTGATCGACCTGTTTGTACTCTTTGGATTGTGATTCTTTTATATTGCATACATCAGTGCTTTATGGTATCGCAATTGATTTTTGTTTTGTTGATAAAAGATGCATGCATAATACCCTAGGTCTATTTTTTCTTTTCTGGTTGTACACATTCTAAAACAGTTCTTAATTGCTCTTTTTCTTTTTTAATAAATGAAAAATAAATTTAAAAAATCCTTTCAAATCCTTATTTTTGAGGTTTTATTTCATTATATTTTCAGGAACTGCTACAAATTGGTTGTGGTACGTCAAGGGCATAAAGACGAAGTGATTGAAGTAAGCAAGTTTGGGATTGTGGCCTCTATAAAGGACAAGATTGAATGTTTACTTGGGATAAGAGTATCCCAGCAAGTCCTATTCTTCAACGGAGAATATCTTGATGAAGATTGGCGTATAATTCAGAGCATTGAAGGGATTGCATCCAACTCACGGATCCAGCTCTTTGTGTTAGAACCATCGGCCGTGATCCCCACATCAGCCCTTATTGAAGAGTCAGCACCTCCAACTAGATATTCTCTACGACCGCGGCCTCGGCGCTAAACCAATTTGCTTCCATTTGGGCGAAAGTTTGTGTTATATGGGATAAACACCGGCCTTTATGTTACCTTTAAGTTTAAGTTATGCGAGAGATAGATTAAGTTATAATAATTTATGTGAGGGATAAATTTGGCTAGATATGAATATATTATTTTGGGAGATTCACTAGGGGCCCAAATTATAAAAAAAAATACCCTATATGAAATGAACTTTAGAAACACATCCAAAGCCCATTTACAACATAACAAAGAGGCTTTTAAGTTTCTTACAAATTACAAAACTGCCATCAATTTCTTAAAACAAGCCAAACCCCAAAACCTCATAAAAATACCCAAAACACTCAATAGTGCATCAAAGTAATTTAATAATCAAAATTAAATTCAGTAAGGCTAGCTATTATTTTTTGGGTTTGTTTATAGAAATTAAATGGTGTAGGATTTATTTATATTATTAGTGCTAAGAATGGGTATATGACTAAATATCTCTATTATTTACATGCTACGTGGTAAGAAATCGAAAGATTGTTTTTTTCTGAAAAAGTACTGATTTTCTATGGTCACCAAAGTTCAAGTATCCTCTTTTCTTTCGTAATAAAATGAAAACAAGAGGATACATAGAAAACTACTCACTGTCCTGAAAAGAATTCTCATACTAAAACTAGTTTAATTTATACCATGCCCGCAGTACATATATAATTCGATATGAAAAATACATTCAACATTTACAGTTGAATGTATTTTTCAGCAGCAAAGAAGTTTACCCTACGTAGGTTCCAGGAAGCGAACCAGGCCCCTTAAAATGCATCAAATAATATTAAAACTTTCCCCAACGTCTTAGTAGTGGTACCAGGCTATGCAAAAAAACACTTGCCTGCTCTCTCCATCTCTCTCCTCACGTGCTAATCATGAGTATCATTCTGTGCTGTGGAGAGAAATGCGAAATTGAAATGAAGATTCAAGATGTTTGCCTGCTGTTGCTCAGCTTAATATATATTATGTTGAACATGGCAATATCCGCCTTTTAAGTTTTAATTATTCCAATTTTAAAAGGACTTTGGTTAAGATACTATTACAAAAAATGAATAGATTATTATAAATAAACCCAATCCTAGACATGTATTTATAAAAAAACCCACACATTATTTAAACATAGAAACACACCCAAAATCAACCCTAAAGTCAACAATTATATATTTTTTGGGTGTGTTTATAAATGGATTTTGAGTGTGTGTAATGATGAGTTTTGGGTGTGTTTATAAAGTGTTTTGGGTGTTGGGTTTTTTTATAATTCCAGCCCCCATTTTGGGTGTTTTAGTGAAACTCCCAAAAATGAAATAGACGACGGGAATCCACCGTCGTGTATCATGTTTTACAACTGACGAGAAATCGACCGCCGTCTTTTAACACATGAAATAACGACGGCAAATAACCGACGTGGTTAATATATTACACGTCATAAAAAACACTAAAACCGACGTCGATTTCATACATAAAAGCATAAAAAGACAACTTTCGACTATATTAGACGACGGTTTTAGTAAAACACAGACGTTTAAATAATGTTAAATGTCAAAAACAACTACAAACCCGATGTAAATATTTTTATCAACGTCTCTAAATAAAACAAAACCAACGTGTAAAACGTAGAAACCGTCGTGGTTAATAAATACTATGTTCACTAAATAAAAAAACTGACGTCTAAAACATATAACATGATAAATTAGACGTCACTTTTGTCAAAATAAGTGACTTCTTAAATATTTAACATGGCGTATATTTACTTGAACTGACGTAAAAAAAAAACATAACCACGACCCTTTAGGTCACCACAGACGTTGAAAATTATTTTGATGGCTTGAACATAGAAACAAACGACGTGAATTTAACATTACACGACGGTTAATTAAAATACCTGTCATGTTTAATCCATTTACTACGGCCTAGGAGTCACATTTTAGGACGTTGTTAGT